ACATTGCCCTCGAAACAAAACGAGATCCGGTCCTGCAACACATCCTACGCTGGGTTGAACGTGGTTGGCCAACAGAACAACTATCACCTGAATGGGCGCCTTTCAAAGCCCGCCAAACCGAACTGTTTTCCCAAAAGGGCTGCATCTTGTGAGGCGATAGAGTCGTAATTCCGGGCAAACTGCAACGAACTGTTTTAGCGGTATTGCACGACGGACATCCGGGCATCGTGCGAATGAAAGCACTCGCACGGAGCTACGCCTGGTGGCCGGGAATCGACAAAAGAATCGAGGCCTGGGTCGCTACTTGTCAACGTTGCCAGGACGTCAGCAACGGTCCCACCTAAAGCAAGCCCAACCGAATGGGAAACTCCGAGGGGACCATGGTCCCGTATTCATATTGACTTTGCGGGGCCTACAAAAGGGCACACTTTCCTTATTACAGTCGACGCCTATTCAAATTGGCTCGAGATCCATCGAATGAACACAACTACAACGGACTCAGTTATCAACAAATTAAACAGGCTATTTGCCACACATGGTTTTCCGGACGTTCTGGTCTCGGATAACGGCCCACAGTTCACAGCATTACCATTTGAACAATATCTTGCTGACCGGGGCATCCGCCATGCGCTAACCTCGCCCGCGCACCCTGCGGCGAACGGACATGCAGAACGCATGGTACAGTTTGTAAAAAAGACCCTCCACAAAATGGAATTCGGCGACATCGATGAAAAAGTCAATCGAATTTTATTGTTGCAGCACATCACGCCCCACAGCGTTACCAACAAAACACCCGCCGAACTTCTCATGGGGTGGAAACTACGATCGCACCTTGACCGGCTCCACCCTGCATACGCACCCGAAAAGCCTTTCGGCTCCAGCAGCAAATGCCGGGAATTTAAGGTAGGCGATTTAATCTTTGCCAAAAACGATGGGAGGGTGTGGAAACGCCACATAGACCAACTCCGTTCGAGATTACCACCCAGCGCCCATGGCTCCCCGGGTTCACCAACTGAGGGGGGAGGAAATATCAAGGAAACTGACTTCGATATGACAGATAGCAGGCCAACGGAAACCCTACAGCCCAGCGAAGTACCGGGAATCGAAGCAGGGAGGGAGTTGACTTTCCCATGGGACGTTAACACGGGGGAAACCGAACTGCGAAACCCCGAAGAAACACTGTTTGGTGGGGACAACCACAACGGAAGCAGCACGGAATTTCCGTGCAGCGAAACGGAGCTTAACAGAGATCATCCAAACGCTCCACCGGAAACGGACTTTAGGCCAAACCCGGTGGAACCACGGAAATCATCCAGACAGACCAAACGGCCTGTCTATCTTGAGGATTTTGTTACAGCTCCCCTCAAACGGAGCCCAAGGGGGAGGGGTGTTGTGAATAAATAAAAAGTAACTAAGCCAAATGCAAAACGGGTTTTGAAAGCCTGCACACCTGATTGGTCCTTAAACAACAAACAAGGATTGGTCCATAACAAGTCCCTGATTGGCCAATATTAGGGCACTTCTTATTGGGTATTAGTTGAACTTGTTGCACATATTATTGGTTAATAGGGTAGCAGCCAACCCTATAAAAGGGTTACTGCTGCCCATAGCCTTGCTCTGTTCTGTTCTATCTACCGTTATTAAAGAGTTGAAGTCACTGGTCAGATGTCTGGTCTCCATTATTCTCCAAACTTAACAATTTTCACTGTTGAAAAAAAATTCTGCCAATTTCCCCAGGTAGGTTTTCCATGACTGTGCTAGTAGAATAAAGAAAATCCGAAACTGACCATTTTAAGAACATCATAAGAAGAATTAGGATGCTAAACTCTTGATGATTCAAATAAGAATGATGTCTAGCAAATTGAACCATTTTCATAAGAAGCAAAATACTTAACTGAAAAGGGGGTAAAGTATAAACTTTTTAAATTTTTAATTGAAAGAAACCTCACACAACTCTTCTTTTCTCTCCAGTGGCACTGCAAACTTCCTATCTATTCAGCTGGTGTTCTAGATTTCCCATCCTCTGCCAATTCATCCAGAAATTATGTGGCATAAGGAAAATTGAGAGATCTGTCTGCATTCTTCTCTGTAACTGGCATGCCAAAACAGAAGTATATTCGGTGATGGGATTCCTGGAATGGGAAGCAGAAGCAACAGTAGCATCCCAGGATAGGAACCGTGGTGGCACAGTGGTTAAGAAGTGCCTAATTGCTGGAAGTAATTGAGGGTTAAGTAGTGGTAGCACAGTGGTTAGAATGCAGTATTGCAGGTTAACTCTGCCCACTGCCAGGAGTTTGATCCTGACCAGTTCAGTAAAATGGGGACTTACATTGTTGGGGGCAAGATGCTGATTCTGTAATGTACTTAGAGAGTGTTGTAAATCACTATGAAGTGATATATAAGTCTAAATCCTATTGCTATCCAAATGCAGGAAGGCTTGGAAATTCTGCTTCAAAGCATTATTAAATTATTCAAAGCATTATTATTCAAAGCATTAATGTACTCAAGTTATTTGACAGATAATATAGTAAAAAGTTCATATTTCAAGCTTGGGGATAGCATAATAATTTATAATGAGACAGAAGGATTATAAGTTGAAATCCATGTACCCAAACTGGGAAATATATCAAGAAGAAAAAATTATCTCGAGTACTACAGGAAGATAATATGGTATCACCAAGGAGCCTGGATATGCTCCCATTTTAAGTATACCCCATTGGTGGAACAGAATGGTAAAGACTCATACTGAGTTATGTTCTCATGGCATTCTGGCAATGGAATGGGCCCTAAAAGCAGCTTTGCACTCTAATCATATGGGTAAATAAACACAGGAAGGGTAAATAACTTGTGATTCCTTGAGTCATGTATATAATTAACTTTCAAAGTAAAGACTTCTACACCTTTCCCAGAGGGTCTACATGATCTTAAATAACAAGCACATGTTCCCATTCATACTTCCTGCATTAAGTTTAATGTCCATAATCCTACTATGTCCATTGAGTCCTGAAGTGTATCTCTTAATTAGTGAGTATGCAAAGCACCACAGATGTTTTTCCAAAATGCAAGATTTATATTGCTACAGGATGTGCTCTTTCTATCTGTCTTACAAAGTGCAAAAATATTTTAGTCACCATCTTGGAAGTGAACATTTGGGTCTTTGATTCTATTGTTCTCCTGATTCCAGGAGTCCAAATTAAAGCATCCTTGACAGGAGACCAATGAAGCCACTAGCTCTCTGGGTAAATGTTTCTACTGTCTGTGACTTAACTGTTACAGAATTTAACATTCAGCTAGAATTAACTTTCCAGTAATTTAAATTAATTATTTGGGATCAAATATTCAAAGCAAGAGAGTCAGGTCTTGAAATTACTCTGGGTAGTTTCCTTTTCCCTGAATTGTTTGGAAGGTCCTATGATCCTATCATATCTCCATGACTTCCCAACCGTATGTATTTATTACTTGATATCAACTTATATAAGTACCATAGAACCAATTTGGTACAGTAGTTAAGGCACCAGGCTAGAAACTAAGAGACTCCGAGTTGTAGTCCTACTAATGTCTAAAGCCAGCTGGGTTACTTTGGACCAGTCTCTTTCTCTCAGCCTAGAAAAAAAGCAGGTAATGGCAAACCACTTCTGAAATTTTGCTAAGAAAACTTAGGGACTTGTTCAGGCAGTCACTAGGAGTCAACAATGACATGAAGCATGTGTGCATCTATCTATCTATCTATCTATCTATCTATCTATCTATCTATCTATC